TTTTACTAGTAATTTTCAGAAAAAAAAAAGTTATTACCGAAGGAATGTTACACGCATGTATGGAGCGCAATAAGGAGTTCGGGCGAAATAGGGCTTAAGAAATTCTGCAGGGGGCAGTGCTGTAAGAGAAGACCTGAGGGTTCCAGATTTGATGAATTTCTAAGGTAATTGGAGTGTCGCTCACATCGTCGTTACAGTTGATTTCAAACAAAAAAAAACTTGATCGCCCTCCTGTTTGTATCCTCTCAGTCAGTCTGAGAGGTGCCAAGAGGCGTGGAACGAGCCCACCCGTGGCGTTTTCACCTTCGGAGTTTTCCTGCTGAGATCATTCACATGTCACCATCAAAGGTTGGTAGATAGCGCTGTCGAAGGCAGGCTCAGCCCGCCCCACCTAGCACCGCCCCGACTGATTGCGATGAAATCAACAATACATTCGTCCTACACTCATGTATGTATGGGGAATGTACCAGTCAGCCCCACTATAACTGATTTAGAGTGTCTGGCCTTGTTGGTAACAATGTTGCGCCACGTTTCTCTCGTCCTCACATTACTCCGTTTCTCACAGGAATCTTATCACTGAACATTGGGACACTTTTCCCCTTTACTTACCTTACTGTTCGAAGCTCAGAACGGGTTCCTTTGTAAGGTTGCTCGGTTGTTGGTAGGTTGTCAGATTCACTTTGGAAAAGAATTTTCAGTGGAATCCATCCCGAACATTTCTTCTGAGGGACTGAGGGCACGTTCCTCGTTCATTTGATGTTGAGATGTCTTCTTTGGACAAAGTAGTCCTGTCCGCAGGCACAAAGGATGTGCTACTTTCGCAGATCAAAAACACGTGGGGAAGGTGCGACCCTCTTGATATGAGGGCAACGCCACGCCCTCTGCCCAACGTGACGCCAAACTTTCATCATTTCTGAAGGTCTGGTGATGGTGATGAGTGGTGATTGTCTGGGGTGTTTTGTTACGCTACTGATTTGATGGTGAGAGTGAAGTAATGAAGGAAAAGAGAGGCTACCAGCGAGTAAAAACTCATCCGACCACGACCTTTCTGCTAACATGGGTGGGCTCAGCAAGGCTGCAGGAACCTCTCCGAAGAATTCTTAGCGATTGAAGATGCACTGTAGGCGTAACCGCAATCCTTCCCGTACGAGGTGGGCAAGTCCGCAGCTGGAGAAGTGTGCGCCGCGTTGCTGAAAAGTGCACAGAAGTGAAGCCGAGGGTTACGCTAGTTGGATGGGTTTTAACCAGGTGGTGAAGTCCGTTCTTCCACGTGGTGCCACTGGGAACTACTCACTATTGCGGGCCAAGCCGGCTAAAAATAAGGCGGACATTCGAGTGCAGGTGACAGCCCGGCCTACGACTACCCATGTCACATCACCCATGTTTAATCATCTCTAGAATTCATAGTTAATGCACACGCGTCCGCTAGAAAAGGATTCACAATTTTGGTAAGGAAGAAGTGAGTCGCTTAGAGAACGGCAGCCTTTCACCTAGCGTTCATGCAGCGGTCCACCAGCGACCAGGAGTAGAAGTTAGGCTAATATTGTTCCCAAAAGATATTTTGGCTTCAGAAAGAATGCACTATTGCCTTAAATAACGTCAAGAACGGAATAAAGTACCGCGTGCACGTAATTTCTCGTTAGCCTGTATAACAGCATTGGGCACTGATGGGGCTTCGTTCATACTTTGCAGCCGCGTCCACCAGTAACCATCAGCGTCCCGCGACCATCAGCGTTACGGGCGTCCTGCAGCGTCAGCGACTAGTATAAAGTAGTAAAGTGAAAGTATAGGTATCGATCCAGCGAACCGCAACGTCTACCAGCATCCACCAACCTCCGCCAGCGACCATCAGCGTCTCGAGGTACTAGGAAAGTGTGGATATTGATCTGTCTACCAGTGACCAGGAGTACGGTATTGTGCCCTTGTACACTGCATGCGCATGCACAGACCACAATTTCACGACGCCTAATCCAACTGTTTCCTACCTCCTACTTTCCCATACTCTACCAGCAGTCTGCTACCCTTCTTTTTCCCCATAGTCTCCACTCCTGGTCGCTGGTGAACGCTGATGGACGCTATTTGACTCATACTTTCCTACTCCCTCAAGACGCTGATGGTCGCTGTCGGACGCTGTTGGACGCTGGTAGAAGCTGCCCTTCTCTGGATCGATATCTACACTTTCCTAGCCACTGACGCTAACGAACGCTCGATACGCTGCTGGACACTGACGCAAAGTATGAACGCAGCTCTGAAGAGCATCCTCGACGACGTAGTGTGGAGAAGGACATTGGGCATCGTAGTAAACTATCACAACGTATTTCCATCAACTTTATCTGGTCCTATATATAATAACAATGTACACATTCGTATGGAATACCCGAAAATTGCGCGGTCTCGTACAACAAAAAAAAAAAAAAAAAAAAAAAAAAAAAATGAAATAGGACTGAGATGACGGTATTCGCATCAGGATTACATATTGTTTGGCAGCGATAACAGCAGAACGGGCGAAACGAGAGACAGCCAAAAGCGCAAAGACATTGCTGAAGATTCCTTAGATGAAAGTCAATTATAGAATTAGCCGGATCAGTAGAAACAACAGAACCAACATCCTATTGGCAGTTAGGGAACTGGGCTAATTTGCCACTCAGAACGGGATAAAACTCAGGGCGCAGATGCAGCACAGGTACTTTGCCCCTCATATACCTGAGGAGAGGTTGGCGACGTGTCGCTGACGTCACATAAAACGTCACTAATAGTGATACAACACGGTTTCCTCCCCATTAGCGTGGTAAAATGTCGTCTGATAATTTTCAACAGGCAACGGACCTGTGCTACAGCTGGACCAAATCCACAATAAAGGCTAGGCATATACTCGTCGAACTTGCTGCAGAGGTCAATGCGCGACGCTTCGTTGCAATCAATACATATGCTTTACACTGGCAGCCGTCGAAATTCGTCAAGTATAGACCCAGGTAAGGAGCCACCGAAATTAATTATGGTTCTCCTTTGCAAAAATCAAATAAATAAGATATCTATAAAAATTTTGAAAGTGAAACTGGTCAAGGATGAAGTGACCCTATGAAGCCTAGATATAGGCATAAATAGCGCGCCAGGACCAATACAAGAGCTCCTGGAGGAGATTCTCTGGCAATAATGACAGCCTGATAAGGGGGAATAAGGAACTAAGAAGGAAAAAAGGAAATGTAAGGGGGAAATATAGACGCTCACAGTAACCCGGATAACTATGAAAAGGAATACGAATGGCAACGAGCAAAAATTCAACCCGAGCACGATATTGGATGTGCGCTTCGAGAACTACGTATAGTGAAATGAGCATAATTGAAAGGCTCCATCATGACGATGAACGATATTTGGAACGTCTGTGAACTAAAGAAGAGTTGCCTATGGCTGCATTTATACTTCGCGACTCGAGCCATCCAACGATTAGCGATGGAGCGCGGTCAGTCGCAGTCGAGCGACATCAAGCGACTGAATCGCTCGAGTCGCGAAGTATGAACGCGGCCATGCGGGCATGATGATGTCCTCAACATTCAGTCGATTGGATCGGTCGACGAGAAATGTGCAAAAAATCGCATTCCATGTTCAGCACTCGACGCACCACGAACAAAGAATCCTCCAGACTGAAATAAAGTTTAAAATTGGATGAAAACACACGAAATATTCTTTATTACCTTTGCGGTAGCTCCAAGCCATACATATGACCGGGTCGTATACGATAAGCGAAAGGAGCGAAACCTCGCTCTATAATAGCTATTGATGTAAACTTCGAGTCAGGGTCATCGCTAGGACCACCTTCACCATTCCATAGCACTATTTTTGAACGGCGTTTCATAAGATTGACCTGAAAAATTTCGCAATTTTTATTTCCGTCCACTTACATTAAACGCGCTGCTAAGTTATTTTCGTGCTTCATACAGAAAACATGGCCAAGGGGCGCGCAAATTACCAGCTCAAAAATCTTTACCTGTGTTGTTCCATCACTAAACACCATAATAAGGCACTCAGATCCCAGATGAGTGAAGACCAGGTAAGGTGGGGTATGGTTAGATGCCAAAGCCGCATTTCGCGACGCTTGTGACATCAGAAGATCCGTATCGGCCAATTCCCGCTCCATGTACTCACGATACTGTCGTGCAATCTGTAAATCCTCGATTTAAATAAGGACAAAAACGTTGGGAGGAAAAGTTGCTGGTTCAAGAGTACCTCAATGTGGGTTGCAGAAAGCCCTGAGTTCTGAATGGTTCCTGGATGAACAACATGAGGAGATGAGAACGGGGTTTGCGCATAGATTATCGTGGGAGAATTTGTTCTGAAACAGCAACTCTGAGGATAATATCTACGACAAAACCATTACCAATAACATTACACCACCGATTTTTTGAAATATCGTGATATTGTAGTTGCGAACTCCCCACAGAACCAGATTAGTTCATTAATTATCAGACATTCGCGCCTCTTTCTCCAGTCAGAAAAGCACGGGAACGGGGCTGAAGGGAAGTCCTATCCAGGAGCCGTATAATTCTCTGCCCGCGCTGTCGCGATCCACGCGTGTAAGGCTTCGTTCATAGTTCGCGGCAGCGTCCACCAGCGACCATCAGCGTTTCGAGCATGCGTCAACGTCAGCGACTAGGAAAGATATCGGTCGAGCGATATTGACCTAGCTTCTACCAACGTCCACCAGAGACCAGGACTAGAGAGCATGGGGAAGTACGGAGGCAGTAGACTGCTGGTAGAGTACGGGAAAGTAGAAGGGAGCAGACATTTGGATTAGGCGTCGTGAAGTTATAGCGTGTGCAACTGCACCATACTACTACACAACAGCGTACTCCTGGACGCTGGTAGACGCCAGATCAATATCTATACTTTCGTAGTAGCTGACGCTGAAGGACGCTCAAAACGCTGATGGTCGCTGGTGGACGCCGTCGCAAAGTATGAAGGCAACCTAAATGTAACCAAACGCGCTACTTGTCTGAGAGCGTGTTTCGCTGCGAAATCTTAGCACGCGAGCAAAGCACGGAGACGGCACCCTGGTATTACCACTTTCTTCCCATGCTCTTTTGAGCGGAGAAAGTGGCAGCTTCTGCAGCTGCGAGTCTATTCTCCTCACTTGTTGAGTGATCTCGGAGGTAAATGACAGTTCGGCTTTAAACCGACCCGTCCTCTATACTGCACCTCCATTTGACCCTGTCCTCTGACAATGACTAGAAGTAACTCACGGCCAGCTTAAACACAGCCCTTCGTTGAATTTCACAGATATTGAACCATCACTGAATTGGCATCCGAACCCACGACGATTGGTGTAATCCACCCATTTCGAGACAAAAACTGGTGGTAGAGGGCATGGCTCCAAAGCAAAATCACATGTTCCACCTAAACGAGTTCTTTTAAGGTAACATATTAAAATGGTGGCCTTTGCACAGTGTATAACTGAGGTGGGGAGGGCGTGGCTGCGCACTTTATTTGAACAAGGCACAGGACACGTTTTTCGTGAGATTTTTCCATTTGATACAGCTATGTTGTTGTATCATGTGTCAAGACAAACATGTTACAATTGGCCGAAGACGGCCCATTACCCTCGTATAGGATCGGAGCCAAATCCAGAATCATGTGTGCTCACTATCGATTTGCGCACCGAAAGCGCGTCACTGCCACGTCCAGATGGAGTAAAAAGCCACGCCCTCTCCATCTCCGTGAAATGGATAGAATCTGAAGAAACACTAGGTACCGAGGAGGCCACTGATATCGTTCAGGTAGCCATTCACTGCAGCTGCTAAAGCAGGTCGGCGAGACATATCAGGATCGGAGCCAAATCCAGAATCATGAGTGCTCACGATCGATTTGCGTCGAGACTGGAATATAAGTGATGAAATGGACAAATCTTTCTTCCGCTCAAAAACGAGAAAGGAAAATAATCAGCTGACTAACTCTGTTGGCACAAGCTTGTGCTGACGCAAGGTCTAACGTGGAACGAGGTCGGTGAGGACTTCTTCCACTTATTATATTGCCATTGGCGTCGTGTCTTGCTAAGTCCTTCATACTCTTAGCCCTAAATTCCAAGCATTTCTATTTCGTGACTTTCAAAATGACAGATTTGTATAATCTTGACGCCCAGAAAAAGGTCGGATATACTCCAACTGCTCCTGCCTACTTCCCGAATTGCAGGCCAGATTTCGATTGAAACCTTCCCCAGGGATGCTGAGGGCTAGAACTTTGTCACCGAGGGATGGTTGGTCCTTAAACGAGAATATCACAGCTGAATGAGAGAACGTTCGGCGACAGCTCTGCAGCCAGCAGACATGACTATAAGTTAAGGAAACCGACAGATACAGTAACCACAAAAACTGCGCGTGAAATTGAGCTAGTCGTCTCCGTGAATGCACGCAAATGGGCATACCTGGAGCCGGTTTAGTTGCCCAAGTTTAATAGTCTGTGCTTATATGACTTTTATTCCAGGGTGAGGAAGGAGCAAGAGCGACGCTTACCTCATCTTCCACCCAGCGAGGGACTGCCTAAGCGAAAAAAAGAGTGGTTTCATGTGCAGTAGCTGGTGCTACGCACTTCGGTTCTACGCAGCCATCTAGAATATGCCGTTCCGCCTGTTTTCTGAAACTTGTAATTTAGTCAGCCACCGGTGCCAAAAGAGCCTGTAGCGCCGGCGCGCTTGGCAGGGACGTCGCACCTTCTCTCGCCAAGCGGATGGGATTCTCCGTGTGCGGAGAGTCATAAACACCCAAGCAAAACGGAAATCTAGTCATGGTGAAAAAGTTAGACCGGAATTCCGGCCTGGATTTCAGAAACTGGGGCAATAGAAAAGGTAAACATTTCTGAATCTGGGATACTTGCAGGCTAACTAACTGCTCATTAACCTTACCTTTGCAGCAAACTTTCTGGCACAGGATGACACATGACCATCCATGGATCGTCCTGTATCTCTTTGATAGTTGGACGGAAGTTTGCCGAATGAATTAAACATCTAAAATAAAAAAAAATTAGCTTCTAAGGTTAGCTCGAACCCCTCAACCACTCTCTTTTCTGAGGCAATAACGCAAAAAAAACTTACGCATTTATAAGGTCTTTGGCCTCGTCTGAGATTTTAGTCCAAAGGGGATAGGAGTATTGACCAGCTTGAATTCTTGCATACGTCTCTTCAAGACTATCTGATTCAAATGGAGGTTTTCCTATTAACATACAGTACAGCATACAACCGATTGACCACACTTCGCTGCACTCGGAGTGACCACGTTTCATCAGAATCTGAACATCCAGACCCCCCAATCGAACGAGTGCGCCGGGCTATGGACATAAGGGAAGACCGCGGTTGATAGTAAGCAAATGGCCGAGCGCAGAGAAAAAAGTGAACTGAGCGGCTATTTCGCTTGGAGTGGGGGGGGGGGACATTTGCACGCTTGCTACTTCCCTTTCTGGCTTCATGTTAGCTGACAGGTCTCATTTTGGTGAAACCTGTAAACCCATGTGAAGATGCGAAATGGTACAAGTGAGCCACTTCAATCACAGGAGTTTACAAGTCTTCACAAGGTGGGGTGCATGAACTTCGCTGAAAACCAGTCGGTGTCCCCACTAAGCCGAAGAGGCCCTGCACAAGGCCGTGCACCGAGCAAACTCTAGCGCTCTGGAGCGAGATAACTTCGCGGTAAGCGCGCTAACACTCATTGGATTCAAATCTTGCATAAGAATAGCCAGACCAAAGTCTGCTAGCTTCACTTGACCATCCGTGCCTGAAATGGAGACGTTGCTGACTATAGATGAGAATCGCTAGGTAAAGCTGCATTGCTATTCAGCGTTTTTGCAGTTGGATATCTGTTCTACATCGTTCAACAGCGAACTAAGAATGTTCTCGAAGAAGATACGCCGCGACTAGAAAGAGACTTCGAGCAATGATTACTCGCGCGCTATGATGCCGCTGAGCGAAGCCAGTCTTGTATTTCGCGTTAGAGCATAGTAGCCCATACAGTACCTTGCGATGTTATCAAAGAAGGGAGCCTTGGAGTGAATGAGCAACTTCGCGCAATTCAATTTATCAGAAATGATGAGTTTCCTCACCTCGGAGATCCATCCCCCTAAAGCCTGCAGGCTATTGCAGCGCTGACGCGAAATCGCACAATGACCC